ACATATCATTTGTGGAGACATCCTCACATAAATAATAGTAAGTATCAGCACAACTTGGTGTTTTTGGTAGAAGTATTTATTTTTTAAAAAATTAAATATTATCTTAAATTGCAAAATTATAACTAGGAAAGCCAGGAATAAAAGAGCAAGTGATGCAAGAAAACTGCAATGAGGAATAACTATTTAAACAGCTCAAAATTGAAAATATTTAGACTGCAATTCTACCTTGTTTAAGCATGAGTCAAATTATGGAATTCCACTGGAATGAATTCCAGATTAGTATGTAACTTGGATTGCAGACTAAGATGTTTTAAATGCCTCAGTGAATTAAAAATAAAATAAAACTTACGCTACTTTCCCTTTCTCAAAGTTATTATGTACATGTGTCTATATCTCTGCACAAATAGATAATAACCTCACCTCCATTTTCATCTTCCCAATGTTGAACAACACATTAAAGCGCATCAGAGCAATAATTAGTGCAGTTTTTGCAATATATTCACCTCATTTATTATTATTTTTTTTTGCTTTTGAGATCTTATTGTAACTATTTAAAAATGAGGGTGAAGAAGGATAATAAGATTTATCACTGTTTATAAATTATAAACAATTATAAAATATATGTTTTATGGATGTATCCAAGCATAAGAATTAATGTCCTAATATATAATTTCTTGAGAAAATTTAGGAAAAAATAAAGTTAACATAAATTATGCAGAGGTGGTATTCAGCAGGTTCTGACCAGTTCTGGAGAACCGGTAGCGGAAATTTTGAGTAGTTCAGAGAACCAGCAAATACCACCTCTGACTGGAGATTTTACAGTATCCTTCCTCTGCCATGCCCACCAAGCCTCACCCATAGAACTGGTAGTAAAAAAAAATTGAAACCCACCACTGAATTCATGATGAATTTAAATAAACATTAACATGTTCTTGACACAAAACCCACTTCAGAATAGGAACAAAGTAACATAATTTACTTCTTTTTCAGATTTTAGTATTGTTGCTATATTTCTATCTGAACGCAGAAAGGAACTTGAGGTGCATTATTTCATAGGTATTAGGAAATGTTATTAAGCTATAATAAAAGCCAGGCTTATAAAACCATATGTGGTTGTATGGGAATTGCTACTAGCCAGCCTATGCCCATTCAGGCCAATAAAACACAAAATCTTGCCCTGAAACAAAGGTATTTTCAATGTCTGGTCAGTATTAATAATAAATCCACATAAAAATAGTTGCGGGGGTTGGTTAAACCTTCTCCCCTTTTTTCTTTTTCTTGATCTTGGACTGGAATTATTATAGCAGACTTCTGAAAGAAGGAAAAATAAGAGCATGGTCCCCAGAAAAATTCAATGCTTCTTTATTCAGAAGAAAGGCTTTAGAAAATTGGGCATCATCTAAGTTCAAACTAGGTGGTCTAGAAGCTATGGTTTATGCTCCTCCTTTGCCCTCTGCTAATTGTGCAACTTAATTCAATAAATAAAAAAAATTAGTGCCCAAATCTCAAATGCAGCTCTTTGAACTAACCTCACTTCTCCCAAGAATTAAGCCAACTCCTAAACAATGTGAGTTAAACTGTATGGGATTGCATGGAGGGAGCTGTAGGCAGGGACAATTACATTAAATCCTGTAGTAAAATGTAACTCCATTTAGTTGCCATTGAAGTCCTATTAGATAAATCACATTGTTAAAGGATCCCCTCCGGCAATATTTGTAGGTTAGATCAAAATAAGTCAAGATAGAACAGAGATATAAAGGAGGGTAAACAATTTAAAGGACATATTATCAGACAAAGTTTGATACAACTATGAAATGTTACCAAGAGAAGAGTAAATCCAGTGTTTTCTATCTTCTCCCTCAAATGCTTTTCATGTTGGAAATAATTACAAGAAAAAAGTAATTATTTACCCAGATATGGTTCCTCGAATTCTATGAACAAATTAAAAACACAGCAAGAACTATTTAGGCACAAGCTGGAATACACCATGGTTGATAGATTTACAAATAGCCTGAAGGATAAAATCAGAGCTCAAGAAGGAAGAAGGAACATCCGGAACAAAATAAAAACAGAATTTGAAACACTCAAATAAAACCAACACCATATATTGTGGCACATGTACAGACTTTTAGTTATAATACAAAGATAGAACAAACAAAATGTTTATGACAAAATGGATGTAAAATGTTAAAGAAACCATTATAATACATCAATGAGAAAATTATGGACTAAATCTATCAAATTTACATCGTTATAACTTAAAAGGAAAATTGATCCAAAATATTTTATAGATGTTATACAATTCCATTAACATTATCTAAGATAGACAGATCTCATGGTAATAACTCAATAACTGCCATGAAACAGAAGGAACATTTTATTCTATGAAATAGTCATGTAAAAAAAACCTCAAAAATAGTTGGAAAAAAATATGCCAAAAATCTTAAATTTAAATTTGAAATGAAACCACAACTTTTCCTACTAGGTGTAATCTCAGAAAAAAATTAACAAGAAATATCATTTAATGAGATACGTACTCATTTTGCAAGAATAAACTTTGTTCTACCTGGAAGACACAGTCCCAACCATATCTTAACTGGGAACTTTAACTTGGAGGATACACAATAACAGCAAAATCAACAATATATGTTCACAATACAAATTTAATTAAATTTAAACAAAAATGGTTCTCATACATGCAACACATAGAATAGAATAGAATTCTTTATGGGTCAAGTGTGATTGGACACACAAGGAATTTGTCTTTGGTGCATATGCTCTCGGTGTACATAAAAAGAAAAGATACATTCATCAAGAATCATAAGGTACAGCACTTAATGATAGTCATAGGGTACAAATAAGCAATCAAATCATATGCAGCATGGTAAATATAACAAGTTACTGTCTAGCTTCTAAGGGGGCCTAAATACCCACAAATATTGCAAATTAGCAAATGTATAAAAGTGGGGAAATTAAATCAAGTCATTTTTATTATTTTGCATTTTCCTTTAAAAAAAAGTTTAAAGGATTTTCACTTTTGCTTCATCTATCTTTTCGTCTGTCTGTCAGCTTGGGCCAGTCACTTTCTCTCAGCCCTGGGAAGCAGGCAAGGACAAACTAGTTCTGAAAAAAATGTGCCAAGAAAACTGCAGGGACTTACCCAGCCAGTCACCAGGAGACAACACTGGCTCAAAGGCACCCCTACCCAAAGGCAACAATACAATTTCTCATTCATTCATTCATTCATCCATCCATTCATTTGCACTTATGTGATCAAAATCCTATCCCTTTGTATATGCATATGGTGTCAACACATGTACAAAGGAGATAAGGCTGTATTTGTATGGTTATAACTACCTCCTTGACTTTTGAGTACCCCTTCCCTACAATACTGCCAAATCCCCACTGCTGGGAAATGGTTTGTTAGAGCTACAAAGAGGAAAGTAAGATAAATATTAGCTATACAAGCTGCCTGCCTTCTGCTTGCATATCTGTTGCCATGCAATTAGCTTATAAATAATACAGCAAATAATATTTTTCCATTTGTTTTACATTGTAAAGCATAATCAGAGGAGTATCTTATTTTAACCATGGTTAGCATCTCATTTGCACACTGCAGAACATCCAATTGTTAAGTGTCCACACCCAGATCTGAAGGCAGGACATTTCAAAATTAGGTTGCTCCCAACAATAACTCACCAATATTTGAGAAACACACCTACCTTTTCCTTAGTTATTGACATGATTAATTAGCCCTCTTATTTTCAATCACATTTACAATCTATATATAGCCTTTCCACCCCAAGGCAGTTGAATGAAAGTAGCAATATCACACTGGCTTCTTACTCTTTGGACAATGGAGTTTGCCTCACTAGGCCCATTTTTTTCAGATAGGTTCTACACTCACTGCTCCAGAGACATCCACAGGATTTGCTCAAAGAAATCAAGATGGTGGCCATGATCGTATGTTTAAAACTATTTTTTATGTATTGTATGTGTGCAGGAAAACCTGTAAGCTATGAAAAACCATTGTTATTAAATTATTCATACATGCAAATATTATGTTTCTTGGTCTTTGCTGAAGCTGTGATATTTTTACTCCAGATTTGCCACTTAGGAGTGCAGCATAACTTCTCAGGAGCATCTGCCTTTAAAATTAGTTTTGACATCTAAGTAGCAAATCATTGAAATATTTTTCTCTTGTGCCTGGACTCAGTCAGACAATAGACAACTTTACTGCATACCCAAAGAAAATGAAGAGTAACTGTGTTTTATTAAATTGTACTTTCCTGATGCTATGGAAACCTAAAATCATCCAACTTTTTCAAAACAGTTCTTTATGCTGTAATCAGGCTGGCATTTAATGCCACCAGTTTGACTACAATGTACTAATTGGAGTCAGCCTGAAAATGTCTTGAAAATCACACCCAGGTCAAAATATTTGCCTGGGAAGAATGATATTTAAATGCTAGATATCAACAATATCACCTAATTCAAGAGTCTTTGTGATTGGCTCCATCCAGCATAATGTTATGAACAGTGAGCATTGCCCTGGAACTTGTTTTGAAACTTATTACTTTTTAAATTGAAGAAATTGTTTTTCATGCCATGCACCTTAAGCCTTCAATGGCATTTACATTATACAAGTCTGATTTTACTAGTGATTGTGTTATTTTACCATACAAATGTAAGAACTCTATGCACTTTATTTACTAAATATTCCAGCCAATTGAGGACTGTTTCTGCATCCTAAAAAGGCTATGAATTGTAAGACGTGTAGGCCCATTTGCTTACAGGTCTCACAATTCTTTTTAACCATGGCAATTCTAGAGATAATTCTGTAGAAAAATGCTGGAAAAGATTCAGAAAACTATAAAACCATCTCCCTCAGAAGGGTCCAATAATGTGTGTTGTTTTGTAACCGTAAAACCTCCTCCTATCCACAGTTCAATAGACGGTTAATGAAAACTCTTGAGTCACGAAATGAAAAAAATAGTTTCAAGTCATAATATTTTATAGAGTCACTTGGAAGATTTTGGGCAATTTAACAATTATCAACACGATTAGCACATTGTAAAAACATTGATTATTCCATTATTAGTTATTTTAGACTATGTTACAGTTCTTTGTCCCATTTTTTTCTCAGAAATACTTGGAAATGAGTCTTTTAGAAAGATATTCTATGGCATCTCAATATCTGCTACAAATTAAAGCAAATCAGCAAAAATCTCAATGCAATATTTAATGTCCGCAATTTTATTATATACATCATTTGTTTCAGACTGTATTTGGTGCAAAAACAGTGTTTAATTGAACCAGAAAAAAATAGCTATGCTTAACAGTTTTTACCTGAATTGTCACACTGTTAAATATAGTACATTTAACAAAAATGTAAGATGGACAAACTCTAAAAGTATCCTCTGTTATATCTAACACTTGATTGTATCACTCTGACTCAACGAAACAAATAGAAATCCAAACATAGTTACAAGAAGTTATTTACTCAGTCACTTTAAGACTGTATTTTCTTTCCAGTGTTTTGGTCTCCTGCTGCATATTATAGAAATGCACTTTAGTTGTAAAGGTAATTAAAGTTACATAAATGAACAAGCCAAATAAGTAGTTATGGGAGATTTAAAAATGGGAGTTTATAAAAATAAGTTTTTATACATTCTTATAAGATTCTGCTTTAGAGAGAACAAATAAAAAAAAATTACTAGGGGTTTTCACAATGCACGTTTCTGTTTCTGGTAATTTTCTGCTGTAAAAAGTGTTAAGTACAACTGAAATATATAGAAGATAACTATAAAATGAAGTCTTCATAAATACAAAGTGCCCTTAAGTTTTTATTTAATTTTAATAAACATTTAACTAGTTGTGCAAAGCAAGGCCTGGAAGGACTTGATGTAAAACGACTTTATTTCATATTATCAAGCTGCAACACAGCATCTTTGACAGCACAATTTAATTTTATATTTGTTTTCTTCCAACATTCATAGAAAGATTATATATTTTTTTTTAAAAGGCACATCTTCCAACCATTGATCAAAATCTGCAGTTCAAGCTAGAGTTTTCTTCAATCACACATAATGTTATTTAAATTTTCCTCCTAATGGCTTCTATCAGCTGAAATGAGAGGGCGAGAGCAGCATTCAATCCCTTCATAGCCCCTAGAATTAATGTTGGGAAAGAGTCCAGAGTAGATTGTGGGTACATATGGGGAGTTCCTTTAGGAGTAGAGATTGATTTAATATAATCAAAAATGACATATGCCAGTTGTTTTTTTAAAGATTCATACATCTTAAAGAGAATCCTCTTGTATTCTACTTCCCTTACAAAGTAACTAGCCAATTTACATAAGATTTTTAGACTGCTGTAATTCTATGACTCTGTTTAGTTTTTAAAAATGAACTATATTTTCCTAAAGTGAAATAATGCAAATAGACAATTTATCATAAAAAGAACTTACAATTTTGGATGCTATCTTTGGAATGGCAGATAACTTTGACATACTATATCTCTATATGTAAATTTTAATAAGCAATATACTTGCTAAAAAGCAATAAATTATATAAAAATGAAGAGATCTATATAAGTTATCTTCTAGTTAATTATCTTCCAGTTATCTTCTATATGACAAACAACATCCAAATATTTAAGAAATACAGTAGTCTTGAATTAAACTTGCAAGAAGCAGTCAAAACATGCAGTGTATACTGGGGAGACTTTTTTTTCTCCAAAATTCAGAAATGAACACAAGTTTGTAATTACAATTTTTTTGCTAAGTCAGAGGTTTGTTGAGCACATCATCTACACAGATATCAAAGAGGTGCCGAGGAGGATTTCAATACTTCCACATTCAAATTATAAAATGAACAGTAACTTGGTCATGTTTCAACAGTCATTATCTTGGATAAAAAAGATTAATGAGTGCACCTGAACAAAGTAGGTTTTTTTTACAATACACAGTTCTGTAAAAATAGCATTAGTGATCACAGTAAACCAAAATTTAAGAATTCCAGTTTTGCATGCTAATTATAGCAATTGCTAAACTATTTCATTTCATCAAATATGATGTCTTACTAAACTGAGAAAAACAACAGTTTCATAAACAAAAATATCGGTTTTCTTTGTATTAATTCTGAAGTTTGACCTCTTTATCATATTTTAATAGCCAAATCTTTTCTTTCCTGATATTCTTTATCTCTGATTATTCTTTAGTACATTCTTTCCAGAATATTCAATTTCCAATGTCATACACTTAACTTTTAACTAAATAAAATTTCTTGCTAGGATTGCATGAAATGTTTTAAGAAATATTTAGACTTTATTTTGTTACTGCATTTTGCATAAATTCTTTATGAATTAAAAAAATATTGAACTTGATATTTAAATTTTTAACTGAAACTCCAAAGCACAATATTTGTAGAACAGAATGATTTGAGATTCTTCGGCAACTATGAAATGAACATCTGTTATTGTGCATAGCTTGAAATCAGTGTGCAACCAAAGTTTTTTTAAAAGTAAAAACAACCACTTGTTAAACCATAAAATTTTGGTTTTTTAGAAATCTTTTCATTGTTAAGCAGTTACATGAAGCAACTAGAAAGATGTTTATAATTACTAAAACGTAGATAAGCATCTGAATGAATGCAGAAATAAACTCTACTGGCAAGCCTTGCAGTTTTTATAAAGCATAGTAGTTAACCTAAAAAAACTAAATATTTAAATTAATCCAAAGACATAGAAGTGAGTTATAAACCACTGCAAGCTAGTCTTTTCCAAGATGATTTATTACGATGACTGGCAGTGAAATTTAAGCCCCATATCCAAACAAATTATTTGGTCATATTTCTTATAAAATAATGTCTGACTGCCACTAATAGAGGTCATATTAATTTTCTGCACTGCAAGAGAGAAAGTAATTAGCCGACTGGGCTTTCAGTGATACTTCAATCTGATGTACACAGAACTAGGAAGGGTTCTAAATTCAAGAGTGGGGAGAAATAGCCCTGGACTGAGTGTCAGCAGGACATCTTTTCAAGGGGGTAGAAGGAAATTCATATTGGCGGCCATGTTGCTGCTGCCTCATTTCTTCATACTGTTCGTTGCTATGTACTTATTCATGACAGTTATTTTCAGGGAACATCATGTTTCTATCAGCTTGTGATGTCAAAGCTTTGTAATATTAGAGTGGGTTGTTTTTTTTTTACATAATCTTGTCAAGCAGGAATCAGAAAATGTTAATATTGCTTTCAACATCATCATCGGCTACATTTTTAAATCTGTGCTTTATAGGAAGAGAAAAAGTGACTTAAGAATCTTGACTCAGGATACAACCTCTTTTGAAAGATAAAAACATAAACATTTTTCTAATTGTTATGGAATGAAAACAGACAGTACTGTTATTAGGGCCCACTTGCTGTAAGCCAGTGCATAGTCAATCAGCAGTCTGCTGGCATCCTTGAATTACTCTACATCGTAGTATAATTAATTTTCATTTTTACGACAACTAATATCCTTCATTAGTGCATTTATGTGTTTCAGAAAAGGAAACTTGGCAATTATTAAAGGTCAATATTTGAGCGCCAAACTAAAGAACATAATTTTGGATCCAGAGTTGCCTCTGTGAGCACAGAAAAATCATTGCTGTTCATGATAGGAATTGAATTCCAATAAAAATTTCCTGCTGAAGGAAAAGGCTGGACCAACATTTTCTCCCAATTTCCTCTTTTGGGGCTGTCCTAGTAACTAATTCCCATCCTGCTCTGGAAAATATCCCAGTATGGGAAGTGGTGTTGAGTGCTAGGAAAAGCAGAAAATCTTATCCCACATTTTCCTTGTCCAAGGCCTGCAGAACTTTGCACCGTAAAATCTGGCACCAAGTCCTTATTTTCTGTATGTCTATCTTCTACATGATTTCTTGTTCTTTCATATGGGAGTACAACTAAAGCTAAACTTTGGAACAAATAGTAGAGTAGCAGTAAACCAAAACTGTGGCAAATTGGTTAACGTGTTCTCAACTTCTTTGTTTGCTTCCTGTTTTTCAATTCCTCCTCTTCACGTCTCATTTCTTCTAGATCTTCTTGTACTCCGAGTCTCAAGCTAGAAAATAAAGTTTTAGTCACCATAAAATTTAAAAAATTAAGAAAAACAACAATTTAAAACCAACCCACAGGATCTAAACATTTTTACCAAAATGAATTCCAAGCAACAACTCTTTTTTATTATGCTTGCTAGTTTACTTTCATATCTGAGCAAGTTTTTTTTTTTCATTCCAGGAAAGAAACTACTTTTCCTGGGATTGAACCAATGTTTGTGTATGATAATTATGTTACCAAAAAAGAGTAAGATGGTTATTATCTATGAAATAGAGAATGTTTTACATAACAAAACAAATAAGACACAATTCTGATGTTAGAACAATATTCAGAAAAGAGGAACAGTTTACTGCTAACAGAGCTATAGTAAGAGTTGTGGCTCCAGTAGTATGGTACTACCAGTACTATTACTACTACTAATACATCCACATTACCACTTCTATACCATTAGTAACACACTCTCCCACACACTCAGATTGCATCATGAAAATTCATGAACAAAATGTAATGATTTAATGCTTTTAGCTTTGGTCCCTTTTTTAGTGTTACAATAATGAGCAAAATACGTGGTTTACCTCTCAACCCTTCCAAAAAGCCAAAGAAAGTCACTGTGTCACCATATCTCAGTAGTTGAAAAACAATGCATACCCCAAATACTAAATGTTTGCCCACTAGTGTATTATATCAAATGTAGGCAACTATGGCGATGATTATACCTCAAAAAAATTTTTTTTACTGAAATGGTAAAAATTAAAATATGGAATGATGCAATTTCATTATAAATTTCTCATCCTACATGTGTAGAATATTCACACGTTCTGAACAGATTGTCCTTCATCGACAACAACGGCTTGCAGACATCTGCTTTCCTGCAGCAGAAAACCAAAAACTTGTAACCAATGTGATTGGGAAAGAAATTGGAATTCTAATCCACTCATTTGTGAAAGTAATCTCCATTTGCTATTATTACGATACTGAAGTATCAATGTTTCATGATGGATATTCTGTGTTTTATAATGGATATTCTGATCAGGTGACTAGGGATGAAGATATTTTGCTCTAAGAATATACTGCTCAAGATAGGTAGAGGCATTGCTTTTACTCTACAGATAGTCTTTGACATACAACAGTTCATTCAAAGTTACATCAGCACTAAAAGAAGTTATCAGCTAGTCAATGTCCTATCTCTTAGTCTACAAAGGTCTCTGTCACATCAAATTTAGTTTAGTTTACTTTATTGTCATTGCATCTCATACAACGAAATCAAATACCATCTTCAGTGCACATCATGACCATGAAAATAAGCACAAACACACATCCTTCACGCTCCACACATTGAACCGAAAACCTGAAACACTGCACCAACACTGCACTATACAGTAGAATTCAAAAGAGCTACTGCCCTGAGATAGCAGCTGTTTTTCAGCCTATTTGTGCTTGTTTTAATATTCTGTACTGTCTACCAGATGGTAATAGTTTAAAAAAAAAGGTTCCCAGGATGAGATGGATCTTTGAGAATGTTTTGAACATTCTTAAGGCAGCAGGAGCTATAAAACTCTTCCAAAGAGGGGAGAGGACAACCAATGATCTTCTGGGCAATAACGTTAACCCTCTGGAGTGCTGTCCTATCTGCCACTGTGCAATTAGCAAACCATACAGAAGTGCAGTATGTTAAAATGCTATCTATGGTGCAGCGGTAGAAGGTCACCAGCAGTTTTTCATTCAATTGTTGTTTTCTGAGAAGTCTCAGGTAGTATAATCTCTGCTGGGCCCTTTTGACCAGTGCTGCAATGTGAGCACCCCAGGTCAGGTTCTCTTTTATGGTAACACCCAGAAAACTGGCCACTTGCTCCACTCAGTCTCCATTGATAAGCATGGGCTGGATGTCTGATCTGTTCCTTCTATACTCCATTATAAGCTCCTTGGTCTTATTGGTGTTGAGGACCAAGTTATTGTCTCCACAACATGAAGCTGGTCCACCTCATCTCGGAAGGCAGATTCATCCCCCCCCGGAGATGAGTCCCACCATTGTTGTATCATCTGCAAATTTAGTAATAGTATTACTAGCGTGAGCGGGAATACAGTCATGCACTTAAAGAGTATAGAGTAAGGGACTCAACAGGCAACCCTGTGGTGTACCAGTGTTAAGAATAAGGGCTGAAGAGGTATGATTACCTAATTAAGACTGTTTTTCACACTTATGACTGTTGCAGCATCCCCGGGGTCATGTGACCAAAATTCAGATGCTTGGCAACTGACTCATATTTCTGACTGTTGCAGTGTCCCGGGATCATGTGATTAGATTTTGCGACCTTCCGACAAGCAAAGTCAATAGGGAATCCAGATTCACTTAACAATCGTGTCACTCGTTTAAAAAGTGCAGCGATTCACTTAACAACTATGGCAAGAAAGGCTGTAAAATGGGGCAAATTTCACTTAACAAATGTCTCACTTAGCAACATAAATTTTGGGCTCAATTGTGGATAAATAGAAGACTACCCGTATGTCCTTTCCTCCTGCAGTTTCTTGTCATGTCTTGATCTCTGAAAGCAAATATACCACAGTATCTACCAATAGGAACAAGAAGTAGGAAGCAGCTGAAGCAAGAAGGGAAAAGAGTTTGACAGGGACAATCCTCTTCTGCCCATCCTGAATTGCCACGCTACTGCTTATTTCTTGTTGCTGAAGATAGAGAACGATGTGATGAGGTAGAAAGGCTGCAGTAGGAGAAGGACTGGGTGACAGGTGGCCAGAAAGTCCAGAGAGGAAAGTACACAGACAGGTGGGCAGAGGAAGGTGAAATGTAGCAGAAATAAGCAAGCAGACAAGTATACTGATTGGATGAAAGAGACAAAAAAAGACAGCACTCTTATATAATCTTGTAATAGCTGAGGAAAAAGTACTGCATATCTTGTGATTACTGTTTTTGCACTGAAGCTCTATATAATTTCACATAAGATGACATGAAAAAGCCCAATAAAGCTATTACTCTTTAAAATCATTTTAACAGATTTCATTTTCAATGAAGGATTTCAACAATATATGTAAGAGTGAATCAGATTGTTTTAATTTTTTACCTTCTGGCTTCCTCTTTCTGCTGTTCTTTCCAAGTACTTTCCATGTAACGTAAGGCATAGTCACTTTCATCTTTGTATCTAAAAATGATTAAGTTAAATGCAATGCTATTTATCTAGCAGAATTATTTTGCCTTGCACAATATCATTTATGGGACTGAAGTTCTTGGGGGAAGATTGGAATACGCATAATCAAAGTGAGGGGAGGAAAAAGAAGCTCTGTCGAATACGTGGCTTTCTTTAGGTAACAGTAGACATGCTAATCAATCAATTGGATGTGTGTGTGTGTGTATGTGTGTGTGTATTTAAATAAAATAGAAACATGCCAATTAATGTTATAATCGCAGGGCTAAACTAAGCCAGTTTTAAGCCACAATATAGTTAACTTATCTTTTTCCAAAGCAATTAATCATCTTGTACTTATAGTACAACAATCTTTTTCCTTTCTGCTAAAATTATGGCAAGCCACATAATATTCCCTGAACTTTCTGGCTGTAGTTTTGAAAATAGCCATTCACTCAATACAATATAGAAGAGTACTGATAATTTTGGCATAAATACAATTTTCTTGTACAGTGTTGCAGGCAGAATGGTGCAACAATGTTTAAAAATGTGTGTTACTTTTTCAAACATCTTTTAAATCTTTTCATCTACTGTATGTTATAGAAATTCATGTACATGTTATGGATTGGTATAAATATACAACAGTAAAATTACGTTAAAGCTTATTTTCTCACTTTGACCGATCATAACCAAATATCTCTTTGATATGTCTCGAGATCTCTTCTTGAGGCTCTCCTTCATCATCAATAAAATCTTCCATTTCAGAATCTTCTTCATCTTCATCTTCATACTTTCTTTTATAGCTACTGGTAATAGGTGGAAGAGATGGTCTTGGAAAACCTAGGTCAGAAATTTAAGACATTATATATATATATAGATATATAGATTCTCAACTCTGTCTCAACTCTTCATAAATTGCCAGAGGTAAAACAACGGGTCCATACCTAGGACAGAGGATGGGGCATGAGAAAATTCTATCTTTGCTGCAGCTGTGCAGCCTGCCTAAAGCACACTGGCTGCTCTTCTGTGTGCCAAAGAGATTTAGGGCTTGTCATTTCAGATGCATGCTGTAGGACTCCCTGTTGCCTGTACTGCAGTTGCACAGTCTGAGAATTGCCCCAACACACATGGAAAGGCTTCAAGGCAGATGCCGTTGGCATGAAACACCACAATCTGTCATTTGGTTCAGGAATACCCATTCTAAAATCTTATTGAAGCCAGCAGAATTTATACCCAAGCCAAGCATTAGGTTAGAGCAGTGTTTTTCAAACTTGGCAATTTTAAGATGTGTGGACTTCAACTCCCAGAATTCCACAGTCTGCATCTTAAAAATGTTCACGTTTGAAAAGATCTGGGTCAGAAAGCTCTTATTTTGTGGGGGAGAATATTTTTGAGAATGCAATTTTAAATAATTGTATTTAAGCCATCCCTAAATACATACATACTCAGAAGCACAAACTCTCAAGATACCTTGTGGGGTAATCCCAGGTCTATGATTAGGAAATGGCCTCATTCCATTCATCTGTCTTGGAACCAGATTTTTGGATGAGATTGTTTCTGATACAACAGTACACTTTGGTTTTAGAGTTCCAGCTGTAATGGTACTTGGCCGACCCGATCCTGAGCTGCTATTCCTTCCAAGTCCAGGGTTTACATTGGAATTTGGCCGACCAGGTCCTACGCCTTGGCTACTGCCTAAACAAACTGGTCTTGAAGTGATGCTTGGTCGACTAGATCCCATGCTTAAACTATTACTGGCCAGTCTAGGTCCTGTGCTTCGCTGTCCTTGCCCTGAGCTGTTTTCTGATCTCCTGGGTCCCATGATACGTGATCCATGCCCAGTAATCGAACTGCGGCTTGGCTGCCCGGGGCCTGAATTCAAGCTGTTCTTTGATCGTGCAGGAGGTCCTCCTGTAACTGAAATGTTGCTTGCTTGCTTGGAGCTGGAATTTTTATAAGTTTCTTGCTGGGCGGAAACCACATTGGTTGATTTTACATGGGTGCTATTTTTTTTCAAACTCAGTTCTTTATTAGATGATGGTCTGAGAGTTCCATTTGCAGCCGTTTTCAAGACTAGAGTTTGGGACTTAGATCCAGTTTTCCCACCTCCGCTGGGTGCAGGTTTAATGTGATTATTGTGCGGAGGGTTTTTTAAAGGCCCTTTTGGTGCAGATTTTACTTTTTCCGCGTGGCTTGCTTTGGAACTAGACACCAATTTGGAAGGCTTTTCACTTAAAACTGGCCCTTTGGTTTTCTTATTGTTATTATTTTGTGAGGGAATGCTTCCTTTAGAAAAGGCAGGTTTGTCTGTCAAATGCCTGCTAGCTTTAGCATTTACTAAATCCCTCTGAGAAATTTCCTTTTTGGAAGAACCCGATGGAACGGTATGTTTCATTTCTTTCTCTGATCTCTTTTCTTTTAGTATAACCCCTTTTCTGTTTCTCTTCTCTAGGTAGTCTCGCTCTCTTAATTCTTCTGCAGTCATTGGTCTTTCTTCAGTCTTTTTTACAACTTTTATTTCAACTGGCTCATATTGTTTTTTTTCAGCCAGCTTTAAAAGATCATTAAAATTCATTGCTGGAGGTGCACTTTTGGCTAGCACCTTTGGTTTTTCTGAAACTTTGGAGGGTTTCTCTTCATATTCTTCTGATTCCTGCTCAGACTCTGACATATTATAATCTACTTCATTCATTTCATCCTGTGTCCTACATTCTGTGCTTTCAGAACTTCTACTTTCATGACCCTGCTTCTTTTTAGGCTTCTCTTCAGTAGGAATGCCATTATAGCCATGAAAATTATCCTTTGTCCGTGAAGCCATAGCTCTGGCTTTTCGGTCGTGTTTCATTTCTATGCGCCTAGCCAGTAGATCTTGTTTTCTTCTTTTTTCCATAAGATCTAGAAAGAAAACAAAGCTTTAGTATATATAAAAAAAAGACTCTGCAAATATATATCTTGCAGATATAGATAAATTCCATACAGTTTAGGTTAAACATTTATATTCTAACTATATATTATCTAAAGTATGACACTACAGATTCAGCGTCAAGGCATACAGTAGGAATAACACCACAGATTTTAACTGAAACATCTCTTTAAGTAAGAGGGCTGGTACCAAAAAACCTCTACAGCATGTCCAAGAGGCATAGATTTCAATTAAGCATGGGCTTCTTTGAAACTAAGACGACCATTAAGGAATAGTTCTATGTAAGATAGGGGAAGACCTGCTGCTCTGAGCAAGCGTAAGCAGTTCTTGACTTACAACCATTACTTCAGCACCTGTTCAAAACTGCAGTGGCACTGAACAAAAGGACTTATGACTCATGACCGAAGTTACAGCCATTGCAGTGCTTCTGCAGTCACATGATCAAAATTCAGATGCTCGGCAGCCCACCTGCTATACACTTATGACCGTGTGGTGCTGCCACTCTCCTAGGCCAACCTGCACTGTAGTTGGCAGTAGTGCCAAGGCTGAGCCTGAGGTAGAGGCCTGGCTCTTCAGGAATCTTAGCCAGCCACTGCCTTCAGGCCTTGACATTAAGCTTAGCACTTTTGCTTCCACTGAAGTGCTTCTCTAAGGTGTACAAGTCTTAGAAAATAGTGTGATTCCCCTGAAGCCCAGCATTCCCTATGATCTGCAGGGCACTGCTCACCAGCTGCTAAGAGGTGCGTGTGGCTTATTCAAGGCAGCACCAGGCCTTCCATCCCAAAGCCACCTTGTACATTCTCCAATGCTTTGTGTTACCTACCTCACAAAGGGCTCTGGGGTGATGGTGGCAGGTGGGTCTGAGACGGCTGAAAACCCCGTGCCTCTATTTCAGGCCCAGCTCTGGCACTGCCGCCAAGTGCTGCATGGCAGGCAAACGTAACCTTTGCATCGCAGTGGGGTACCCCCCCTTACTCACACGTGGTCACCCAGGGCCTCCCCCACCGTGGTTGTTTGTACTGGTCGGGATTCCCAGGAGAGTGGAAGTACGTTCCAAGAACAAGAAACAGTTCAATTCATATAGTTGGTGTGAGGGAAAGAGGGTAAAAACAGCCCCTCCCTAATAGTTCTCTGAGTATAGGCTTGTGTAGATAGAAGAGTGCTTTCATTTTTCAAGATTCTGTCAGGACGTGTGGAACAATAATAAAACATATTTGGACGAATCACCATGAGTTTTGGTTTTGGGGGGCAGACAGCTCCCCCACTCCTTAGCTAGTCCACCTGCTTAATGACCATAACTAGGAGATTGTGGTTGCTGAGCAAAGTGGTGACAGGTTATCTTGCTCTGCTCAACAACCAAAATTCCAGTCCCAATAGTGATTGTAAGTTAAGGACTACCTATATAGCTCTTTGTTAAGATGGCAAAAGAAAATCAGTACACTATTATTATTATTTTTAAAAAAACCTGTATTTGCTTTTGCTTTTAGCTGTATAACTTACTTCTAATTACTTGTATATAGATATATAAAGCTAAAATTGTTATCCCAGAAAACTGGCCCTGCCTGGTGTGCAACGCCCGTACACCCAGGTGGAGATTGCGAAAGACTTTATTCTGCACAGAAGGACGCAGAGGGATCACTCCCACTAGGCCTGTCCCCCACCTTAAACAATATATGTTTATAACTTTACTTGCTCTTAAGCCCCATAAATCATACCCTAGGACCACCTAAAAGACCAACCCACCGTCATTCCCTATATTCAGCAAATTGTGTATATGCTTTAGCATAATCATAATCATTTACACAATTCCCAGCAATTGCTACCCTCGAGTTCCTTTTTCCTATGCGGTCATCTTCCCAGAGTACATTTGGGGTTTCATCAGAGCAACTATTCCTGAAGGTTTCACTGATCAAGCAGTTTTCATTACCCCTTATATTCTAGCAACTGACTAAATAACAATTCCTTACAGACACCAAATGTTTAGAAGAAGGGATCTTCTGCCCTTTTCTTCAAAACAATTTTAAAAAAGTCAGTTTTGTTTCAAGTTGACATGGAATATGTAAAGTAAGGAAAGCGTGACAATGATTTTCAGAAGAAAGGCAAGATTTTTGTCCCAAGAATAACTAATAATAATCTTTATAGAAAGAAAAATACTGAACGATACCCTTTTTTTTCTGTTCCTCTTCTTGCCTTCTGAGAAAGGCTTGCACAGCTGCTGACTGAACACCTTTAACTTTTGGATCCTTTTTGGGAGGGCCAACCGCCAAACTGTACCTCTTCTGCAAAGAAACCAAAGTTTCACAAAGATGAGAAACAAATATGAACTTATTGTGCAACTGTTTTCAGCTATGTCCAAGAGGATTATTAGTATACAAAAACTTCCTCATGCATTAGAGGAAGAATTTCTTTCTTAACCAAAAACAAACTAAACAAAAACCACAAACAAATGCAATGAATAGACTAAAAGAAGAAAATTTAAATTCAGCTCTGTATCTCATCTTCTTTATATGGAATGTAAGAGATTTTCAAAGACAAAGTACCAAGGTAAACCAAAAAGACACGTAACATAAAATTACAAATAAATAGGGACATCGTTTCTATTGGACTGTAATTAATACAAGTGACTGAGTTCCTTTCTACAGCGTTTGGGATCTTAACAAGAAAAGGTTTCCTTAAAAAGATCAAACACATTGAGAAAAGAATCCCTACTCATAACTCTTTCAAAGAGATTCCTCTAAATGTTCAAATAAAGAATGAGATATTTGGGATAAAATATCAAATCAAATAAGAAAAATATTTGCACAGGTACAATTTCTGCTAGTGAAATGTTATAAAATGTAAGCTTTTGTATGCTCCAGTTGAAAATATGACATTTTAATTACCCTCCCCTTATTTTTGGGTGGGAGGGGAACAACTGCTTCTGATTTACAAAATATTGTGGTGCTAAATAATGTTTTACTATTAAAGTAGAACAATTGAAGATTATATAAAACATTAACAGAATCACTTTAACAATAATATTTCCAGATGTACTTAGTCATATACTTTGAACACCTATTGTTTTAGAATAAAATCTTAGGTATATTGATTGATCAAATCACCTCTTAATATTGGGTCAATTAAGTTTAGGTTAGTTTGGCACTATGAGCAGTCATAACCCAAAGATTATGTAACCTTATCACCTTTTGCTCATATAGAAAGAAATGAATGAAAAAATAACTCACTCTTTTTGGGGGATCAATTATAATCTGATATTTTGAAAGAACTAAGAAAGCCATGGGTAGTTTAAGTTTGTTCACAAACCAAGACCTGAAAACTGATGGAAAGTGAGGTTCATGATACATCTAAAAAATCTAAACGGAATCAGGCTCATATAAATCTGCATAACAGTTGTTTGCAGAAACAAAGCAATCAATAACCAGCATAAAGTACCAGCATTGCATTATCTAATAATTTGCAACTTCAGAAGGTATATTCAGAAATCCACCTTTAATGGAAAACTGATTGGGTTTTCTTGATAGGCTTCTACAAGTGGAAACACTGATTCTTGCTTTTCCAATAGCACTGGACGATATCTATATAGCTAAATGTTGCAACAAAGTGCAAATCATATATTGCTCTTATTAAAAAGTACCAATACAGAGATAAAATGAGCAAAAATTCCAAATGCCCTTAGAAATCATTTAAAGAGCTGAATGACATACTACATGCCCTTTCTTATAAGCATCACAAAACTATTTTAAAATCTCATCCTCCCTATACTAAGAGTGAAAATAGCACCTGGTTTCAGATCTATCATAAGTCATTCAACAGTACAATGAAGAAAGCTCTCAATCCTGGCTGAGTGAACTTCATATTCAAAATAATCAGAGCATATTAAACTACAATGAGTTTGTGCATGAATATAATATGCCCTTATTTCAGGATTTGTACCGGTAATTCACTTAAGTTGTGTATGATTACTATACAATAACAAGAAGTAATTTTGAATATACTTCATACAGCCATGTATATTACATCCTGAACTATCTACAGTAATAGTTGAACTATTATTATAGCAGTCAAGCAGAAGCAGCCTGTTTCAGTTTAAAAACAGCTAATTAATTGTTAGGTTTTTGCCAAGGGAAATGAACTAATAGGCCAACAATTTTAGTGACACATGATGCAATACTATAATTGGTTTTGTTTATATAAATTGTCAAATACAAATGTCATCTAACACATCTTTCTTAGAAAGCTGAACAATTTCAAACTCTTTTTCTTATCTCTTAACAGTGTTTCAAATTGGCCTACAATAAAAGATATGCATTTTATAAAACTCTATTCATGATTATAAAATTAATGAGATGGTTCCCACAGCTATGAAAGGAGTTTTCCTTCAGCTGAAGAACCTGCCCAATGCTGTCTGGTATTTGAAAAGAAAATATCCACCAGCATAGCTATCCTGTAAGAAAAGTGCAACATCCAAAATCAACATTAAAGCTCACATTTTAGTGAAAGCTTCACATTATATTTGATGTGGAACCTTCTTTATGAGTAATTTTGGAATGATTTAATTATATTTTATTGTATTTATTTTTCCCCATTAACCCATGTTATTTATTTGAGCATATGCTGAAGTTCCAAGACAGAAAGACCCTGTGCTCTATTTTAAACTTACAGGAGAGGCTAAATTCTCAATCCTTCTAAGGGCATTTTATTAATAGAGGTACAAATGAATTGTTCAAAATGTGAAAAATATATTACTTGTTGGTCTCTATGGGAACTCTCTCCTATACTATCCCACATAATGATCACATATATTAATGGTTTTGTTGGGTATATGGGATAGTTCTGAGATTATTTAAAAAATTGAATAAAATGAATGTATTTAAGTACATTGTATTTATGATGCTAAGATAGTAAAGGTAGACAATCTGGTACTGTTCAGATGTTTGGAGCTTTTGCTGAAAAGTAATGCGTAAATAGTCTAACTACATACATTTATTTTATTACCTCTTGGCCCAAATGGCCAACAGCTAAGTATGACAGGAATTGTAAAAAACTGAAATGTACATTTGCTTATTTTTATAACACACAATATTTACTAAGTTTGTTATTTACTTAAAGCCATTCACTGAATTTTGGAGAAAATAGGTAGCTTCGTTGTCAACAAAAATCCAACATGAAAACAACTGATCAAACTGAGAAAGTTATATTTTCTATATAGCAACATTCAGCAACTTTGTTGCTGTAGAATTACAAGTAGAAAATAACTTTTACCTCCAAATGTTTTGAATTGTGTGATCAATGGCAGACATATAAATGCTTCATACTTCAATTTTTTGGAAAGATCACCAACGGTCTCCTGCTGTTTTACAGAATCCCTGCATTCATTGGTTTGAGCCTAAACTATCTAATTTGTTCTCCACAACAATAGCTTCAACAAAAACTTTACAAGGCTAGATCACATTTCCACAAATTTCAAGTCAATCTAGTTGAAATGAATCGGATTATACTATGACTTTTAATTTACTATTATATTGCTTCGTTTGTATACCATTAGTATTTGAAATATTTTATGTTGCGATAATTTTCTCCGGGATAGTATCCCAGGATTAAAAAATTGTGTCTCCACCAGGGAATAGATCTCATCAACCTCTTGTATTACCAGGACACTTCTGCAGAAACACAATCTTTCTATACCCCAGCTGCTAGAGCTATAAAATTAACAGAGGGTCAGAAATCATATGGGAAACAAAAAAAATCAGGATCCAAAGCCCTGTAATATGCTCTTGACTTGTAAAACATTTTAGTACTAACACTTCAGCTAAATGAATAGCTTTCTAATCTAGGTAGGAAAGGAAGGCAACAAGCTTATCTCCATTCTCACTTCTATTTGTTGGCTCGTTGCCAGGATTATGCTCCATTTTTCAAACCCTCCAACAGAAAATCTTTCCATTAACTTAATTTTACTTCCTTAATCCCAAATAATTAGCATTCAAAGAAAAACAGCACTGGAGCAAAATACAATACATATTTTAAATATAGGAATGGACAAGCATATTTACAGATAGACCTTAATTTTCGACTGTAATTACGCCAGGAATTAGAGTCATGTTATGCTGGTCATTAAGTGGCTCATCATAACTGCACCTGATTTTACGACTTTTGCCCTAAAATGGTGGTTAAGTTAAAACATTCTTCACAATGGGCTTTTTTTTTTTTTGCAGAAAACTGGAAGCAAACACCAGTTTCCTGCAAAAAAAAAAATGCCATAAATTGTGGTCATGTCACCGTGGGACACCACAAATACTGCAACGTTTGCAAAAACCAGTTGCCCAAATGTGGTTATATGACCATGGGGTGTTGGGGGGGGGGGAATGGACCATGGATCTTCAAAACTAGAATCTTATTTGGTGTCCAGTGTAACTTTAAACTTTATGACCTGTGCCCATAACACATTATCTTGCATTGAAACAATTTAAAACATTAGCAGATTATGCTGGCTTCTATGAAGAAATCTTTTGAGCAACTGCTGTATCCAAAGGCTTACTGGACTCATGTGGGCAATTGGGAAAGAGTCTCCCTAGATGACAGGAAGATGATATTCTTTAGCAGAAAGATACCAGAGAGCATGCTAGCTGTGCGGGCACTTACCAGCTGTGCAGAAGTCATGGGAGACAGATGGTCCCTCAAGTATCCTGGCCCTATGCCACACAGGCCCAACTCTTTTTCTAATCTTGCTTCTACCAAAAGAGCTCTGATACTGGAAAGATAGGAATCTCAGATATTTACAAGGAGACTGGGGACAGGGCTTCCGAGGTAAATTCAGCTTCTCTGAAAATGGGCCTCTCCTTCTGCTCTTGGAGGATATTACAATATATTCTTCAAGGTGCCCTATTATCAAACCTCTTGATGGTCCTAAGTATAGTAAGTTTAATAAGGCTAGATTCCAACAATATGCAAATTTATGACTGCTTGATTTATGGTTTAACAGGATATATTATATACTCACACACACTTTATACAAGAAACCATGATGCTATCTTAGTAATTCATTTTTTATTCTGTTTATGTAATAACTGCAGTTATACCACTTTGTAAGAAGTATTCAGATTTGGCCAAGTGTCTTGAGAAACAAGGAAGAAAAACAGCAAAGGCAAAGCTTAGAAAACTAGGAATGAACAATAACAGCATTGTTTAAATATCATTAAAAATATTGAAATAGAGGAGTTACAAGCAGTGCTTTAATGAAAAAGTGAGCTTTGGAAAAATCAAAGGAATAATTTATTTTTAAATGAAGTGCGTTCTTCATCTCATTCAATGCTTTCCCCATAAAACATTTTAATACAGGTAGTCCTTGACTTAAAACAGTTTGTTTAGTGACCATTTGAAGTTACAATGGCAGTGAAAAAAATGACTTATGACCATTTTTCACATGATTCTTGCTGCATCCCCATGATCACATGATCAAAATTTAGATACCTGGCAAGCCCAGGGCCATGAGATTGCAACCTTCTAAAAAAGAACAATCAATGGGAAACCATATTCACTTAACAACTGTATTACTGAGCCATGGTGGAGCAGTGGTTAGAATGCAGTATTGCAGGCTAATTCTGCTGACTGCCAGCAGTTCGAATCTTACCTGCTTGTTGACTCAGCCTTCCATCCTTCCGAGGTGGGTAAAATGAGGACGCAGATGGTTGGAGGCAAGAGGCTAAATCTAAACCACTTAGAAGAGGGGGCTGTAAAGCACTGTGGTGTCTAAATGCTATTGCTATTAACTTTAGCGATTCACTGAACAACGGCAAAAAGGGCATAAAATGGGGCAAAATTCATTTAACAAATGTCTCACTTAGCAACAGAAATTTGGGGCTGAATTGTGGTCATAAGTTGAGGACATGTTGAGGACTACCTGCACATACATCTGATTAACCTGAACTTAAAACAACAGAATTTTAGTCATAAAATAGGCAGTCTCAACTCCAGACACAGCCTTTCTCAGAACACCTCAACAAAACCTCTGAAGAGTTTTAGCTGAAGATGAATATGGCATTCATTGTTCCTTGTTTTGGTAGAAGGCTACTTGGTTCTATCCATTGTATCCTGTTTGTTTTTTAAGGAAAGAACTCATCATATTCTACTATGGGTTTGTACCCCGAATACTATCAAATTCCACAGCATAACCATACATCCGTAAGCCAAATAATAAAAAGCATCACAACTTGATTAGCATTGCTAGAATTTCTGGAATTTTAGGGCTGTAATTCAGTTTATGTGAAATAGTACACATGTACATCCATACAAAGGCAGGTAAAGTTTGGAAGAATGTCTGTCTGATTACAACTCATTCCTGGCTCGGTTTACTACAACTGGACTATTTAACTTATATTTAACTCAAAGAGTAAAAAAACCGAAACAACTTGCACTAGATATTACTCTTAGCTCAAACGCAACAAAGGCAGAAAAATAAATGCAAGGAACAGCAGCTCTCTTGTGACTAAGGCTCTTTGCTACCCTTTCTCTCTCCTCTCTTCCCTTCCAGATGTATTTCTGAAGTCAATTCCCTCCCCCCCCCCCAAATAAATCCAACTCATAAATCTTTAGTTGAGAAAGCAATCCTTTTTCATGAGTCATTTTTGTTTGTAAAATGGGGGGGGGGGGGAGGAGAAGACTTCCGAAGTAAAAAGAGTCGAATATGTACATAAAACCAGGTTTGTTATGGAAGTGAAGTTTTCCCTTCAAACTGACACCCTTGAACCACCTTTCCGGGGGTTGAAAACAGCCCTCGCCGGTGGTAGGAATCTCGAGATCCGAGGGGGACGAAGACGACAAAATGAATCTTCCGGCTATTATTTCTGGTCGAGCCCTCGCCAAACAGGGCTGCCAAGTAGGAGATGGATCGCGGTTTGGGTCTGCGATCCCGCTGCAAAACCTGGGTGGAGGTTTCCACAGTGTGAGAGAGAGAGAGATTGGGGAGGTGGGGGGGGGAGATGGCGAATCCCTCTTTTCAAATACTCCGGATCCAGGGCTAGCTTACTCGGACGAAGCGTCCGGAAAGGAAGAGTTGGGCAACAGCTGGCATCCACGTCAATCCCAGCCTGCCGCGTCCTCCTCACTCCTTTTTTTTTTCCCCCACCTCCCTTCCCCCTTTTTTCCTTCTCACCGGCATGGCGCTCGATCCTTGATGTTCCGAGGCCTTCATCAGGACTTCGCGGAAATCCATGACGGGCTCTCCAACGGTTCTTTCCCCCCTCAACACCTGCGAAGGCGCTCAGGCGGCGAGGAGCGCCCCTCCGCTCTCCTCTCCTCTCCTCTCTCGCTCTCGCTTCAGTCCCCTCGCCCAGCTGACGAAAAAGTTGCTCGCGACGCTCCTCCCCCCTTCCTTTACTTCCGGCCCGCGGACCTCTCTTGCCTTCTCTTTTTAAATATCGCCTCGGAGTTTTCGACTGAGTTGGTGGTGGTTTATTTTTTTTTAAGCAAACGTCACTTCCGTCACTCGCGCCATAAGCGAGCACGCACGCGCCCTCCCCTTTCCGAATTATAATTATTATTTTTTTTAAAAAAAAGTGCCTGTACGTCATGTGATCGGGCTTTTTCGGAAAGGCCGTCGGGGCGGAAGGCTCCACGTGTAGTGTGGGTGAGAGAGCTCACCGAGGGATCGATTCGTTCTGTTCCTCTCTTATGGAATGAGGCGAAGGGCCGGGCTGTTGCTTATACGGGTGGGTGTCGGTTGCTTTTGCTGCGGGCTTCCCTGGACTCGGAAGCTAAGCAGCGTCGGGTCGGGTTGGCGTTAGGGCCGGCTGTACGTTCGCTATACTGGGAATCACGATCCACGCCGCGAAGGAAGGAATAAGGAGCTGTTCCCCTTCTACTGCAATTGCATGTAGTTATGTGGGTGTGTCGGGGTGGTCGCAACTCGAGGTCGAAACACTTCCGTATTACTTTTTGTGTTGAATTCACCTTGAATTGATTCACTTTTTTTATCAAGCGTGTATGCTGAAGTAGAAATTTCTGCTCTAATATTTTTATTCTGGCTTTGCTATAAATAACTGAAGATGTTGAAAGTACCTCGACTTAGGACTACAATGGAGCCCCAAATTTCTGTTAAGTGATACATTTGTTAAGTGAGTTTCCCCCCATCTTTTACAATCTTTCTTACCACAGTTTTGTTAAGGGGTTCACTGCAATTGATAAGTTAGCAACCCGGTTGTTAAGTGAATCTGGTTTCCCCATTGACTTTCCTCGTCAAAAGGTTGCAAAAGGTAATCACAGGACCTTGGGACACAGCAACGGTCATAAGTATGAACCAGTTGCCAAGCGTCTGAATTTTGATTACATGATCATGGGGATGCTACAAAGGTTGTAACTGAAAAATGGTCATAAGTCATTCTTTGAACGGTCACTAAATGAACTGTGGTAAGCCGAGGACTACCTGTAGTTGCATGAGTGTGTCCAGGTAGTCACTGAAGGTCGAAACTCAAGGGTTTCAATTTTATCTGGTTTTTTACGTTTAAGTCACCATGAATTCTTTTTATCATGCATGTATGTTGAAATAGAAATTTCTGTTATATTTTTATCCTGCCTTTGCTATAAATAACTGAAGGTGTAGTAAGTGCCTAACACTCCTCTTATTTTCCCCTCAATCCTGTGAGTGGCTTTGGCTAAGAGAGAGGGACTGGCCCAAAGTCCCCAACCATCTTTCATGCCTCAAATCTCCTGGTTTCTGGGTCAGCATCTTCATTGCCACACCAAACTGGAACTCTTCAAACATCTTGATAAGAGTAATTGACCTTATTTTTATTTGTAACATGCTCCAAATTGTGGAATCAGTACATTTTCACATTGTTAGTTGTAGAGTAGTAATTGCAGGAATGTTCCAATCTCGGATGGCAAACCTCAGATAAAGAATGTTTCCAAGCAAATACAACTCAGGCAAACACAGTCACTAATCTAAAGAAGGATTAGAGAGAGGAAGTAAACATATGTTAGACTTTAACTAGAGATAATTAATTGTATTAATTACTGTGCTAAACAGTAACGAAAGTTAAGCAGTAACCAAAGTTAACCAGTGATGGAGGATAACTAAAAATGTGTATAAATGCAAGACTAGACTCCAATAAAGATCATCATGATTCAGTTGTTCATGATCAAACAACTCGACTGCCTCGTCATTACAACAGTTAGATACTAGTAATTTCTCAGTAGCTTACCATCAGTATTTGAGTAAGCAGATATTCCATTTCACTGACTCTGGTGTAATCTTTGTTGAAAAAGTTTTTGGTGTTATGTATGAATGGTATAGAAGGAAAAAAGATGCAAATCTGCTGAATGAGATCTAGATCTTTTACAGATTTAAAATATTGCTACAGAAAAATTCCAGGTACTCTGTGTGCTACCCCACTCCCTCCACCACACAACAAGAGTTCTACAGATGTGTATTCAACCTTCCCCAAACAGGTCCTCAGAAAACACCCACAAAGTCCAGGAAAGCAGGCCAGGATGCACTGCTCAAGCACACAAGGCATAGAACTGGGCATGTTGCTCCAGCAACACTGAAGTCCTTAGGGCAGAGTTAAGTAGGCAACACCATTAGAGCTTTTCATGAGAGGTGAGGTTGCCTCCTTATGAGTAGTCTAGCTGACCAGTGTTACCTGTCTCCTTTCTGCTCTACATGTCCTTCGACCGGAGGAGAATTGGACTCCATCTCCTCCGCATTGCTAATGGGCGGCAGCTGCTCCTGGTCCTAGCCTGGAGCCTCCTGGCCAATTTGCTACAGCTGTGGCTCTCCTCCTTCAGCTTCAGCCTGTGGCTCCTCCTATTCACCCAGCTGAAGCTGCTCCAGAAGGCTAGCATTTTCTGAGCCCCAATCCTGACCAGTACACCTCTCTACACTTTACTCTGCAGACTCAATTTCACTCTCTTCCTCTGAACTCTGTTGTGGCTTCAGCTGCCGGCCCCTCCAGCAGCCAAATCAGGAGGTGGAGGCATGGGAGTCAGGCATCAAGGCAACCTGAGAGCTCTGAGGGGAAAGAGGGAGTGGAGCTGGCAAAGAGGCGGGAGCCTGGGCCATCCGTCAGCCCTCAGATGGAGAGTCAACAGCCCCCAGGTCTGGAAATGGCTTATGAGGAAGAGGAACAGAGGTGGTATTCAGCAGGTTCTGACCAGTTCTGGAGAACTGGTAGCAAAAATTTTGAGTAGGTTGGAGAACCGGTAGCAGAAATTTTAAGTAGTTTGGAATTCTACCTCTGACTGGCTCCGCCCCATCTATTCTCTGCCTCCCGAGTCCCAGCTGATCAGCTGGGTCTTGTTTTGTTCCCCTGCACAGGAAAACAGAGCTGGAAAGCAGATTATGGGGATGGGGAGAGAATGCAGAGTTTACAGTATCCTTCCCCTGGAGTGGGGTGGGAATGGAGATTTTGCAGTATCCTTTCCCTGCCATGCCCATGAAGCCATGCCCACCAAGCCATGCCACACCTACCAAGCCACACCCGCAGAACCGGTAGTTAAATTGAATCCCACCACTGAAGAGGAGGAACAACTATGTCCAGTGCCTGATGCAGAGAAGGCAGAGGAGAGGAGAGCAGTGGAAATTCAAGGGCTGGAAGGAAGAACCACCTCTGCTAGCAAAGCCCCACCCTATCTCTGGAGATAAAAGGCAGGGGGCGGAGATGAATAGCTGTAACAGACTGTAGTTAGCCTGCAGTGAGAATGAAACTTTTTGCTGGGGCTCCTAATAAAGGAATCTTTGACTTAACTTCAGAGGGTTTGTCGTGTTTGGGGAGCTAGGTTAGAACAAACCCACATCTTGAAGGGCCCAGGGGATGATCCATGACACTCTGCCTGTGAAACAGGCCAAGAAGACCTCCAAAGTCCTTTTCAGCCACATGATTCTATGTATCTTATTAGTTTAAAAAGCAAACAAGCCAAATGTTCAATTAAGTACATGGATGTTTTTTACTTCAAAACTTCCATGAGGTGCTGCTATCTTTATTATAGATACAAATCAATAGATTTTGAATGTGGGTTTTTAGTGGCAAGTAATTTTTCTCTCATTTATCCTCATCTAAAACATACGTTTTTGTTATATCAAATGTCAATTATTTTATTTTTTATTTTTTTATTTTGATTTGTCAATTGCTTACAACATAATAGGTATAAGTATATACATAGTTATGAATACATGAAATGGGTACATATAAGAAAAATAAAAGAAACAATAGGACAGGGACGGTAGGCACGTTGGTGCGCTTATGCATGCCCCCTACAGACCTCTTAGGAAAGGGGTGAGGTCAAGACAGTCTAAGGTTAAAGTTTTTGGGGTTTGGGGAAGAAACCACAGAGTCAAGAGTATTCCAGACATTGACCACTCTGTTGCTGAAGTTGTATTTCCTGCAATCAAGTTTGGTGCAGTTAACCTTGAGTTTGTATCTCTTGTTTGCTCTTCTGTTGTTATGGTTGAAGCTGAAGTATTCACTGACAGGTAGGACATTGCAATATATGATTTTATATGCTATACTTAGATCGGACCGAAGGTGGCCTAGTTCTAGGTTTTCTAGGTCTAGAATTTCAAATCTGGTGGCATAAGGTATTCTGCAACAAGTAGAGGAGTGGAGAACTCTTCCTGTGAAATATTTCTGGACTTTCTCAACTGTGCTAATATCAGCTGCGTAATGTGGGTTCCAGACTGATGAGCTGTATTCGAGTATTGGTCTAGCAAATGTTTTGTATGCTCTAGTTAGTAGTGTGATATTACCAGAGAAAAAGCTACGTAGGATTAGGTTAACAACTCTTAATGCCTTTTTGGCTATGTAGTTACAGTGCGCTCTAGCACTTAGATCATTAGAGATGAGTATTCCAAGGTCCTTTACAGAGCTTGGATCAACAACAAGGTCTTGACTATTCAGCTTGTATTTTATTTTCTGATTTTTTTTGCCAATATGTAAGACAGATTTGTTATGTGTAACAAATTTATTTGTTGAGATTTGAAATTGCCATTTGTTTGACCATTCTGATACATAGTCAAGATCTTTTTGAAGGGTAGCAGCATTGTCTGTGGTATTGAACAGCTTTACATAATCAGCAAAGAGAACGCAGTTGCTCTTAATGTGATCACAGAGGTCATTTATGTAGAGTATGAAAAGAGTTGGTCCTTGAACACTGCCTTGGAAGACACCACTATTGACAGGTACAGAATTTGATAGCACACTCCCAATTTTGACCATTTGTTGTCTGTTTGACAGGAATGCTTCTATCCAGTTATGCAGTTGTCCAGAGATACCATAAGATTTTAGTTTTAGGAATAGTTTGTCGTATACCAGTGAATCAAAGGCTTTACAGAAGCCTATGTAGATTGTGTCCATTGTTTTGCCCTGATCAAATTGTATAATCCATATGATTTTGCAGTGTAAGAGTTGCAGATTACAGGATAGTTGTGTTTTTTTGGAAACCAAA